CCGGGTATGTTCCCTGAGCCGTGACACGAGTACTCCTTGAAGATGCAGCAAACAACAGCTATCAGGTCATCACTTGCACTGCGCTGTGCAGTATGTTGGGGACAAAGCGAGGCGTTAGCCGCCCACTGGTTTCAGAGCGTGTTGCGGATGCAAGGTGAAGTCACTGGCTCGGTTCACGTCTTATGCCTTCCGAGCTCCTCGATTGCGTTCATTGTACGCGCTGAGAGGTGGGATCGAGCCTTCATAGCGAGCTACTGCGGGCTGCATGAGCTGTTCATGTGAATGGGTGTCCCTGGGCGCTGAAAGTGTCAGCGCATTTTACCATCAGTTCTTATCGCGGGGAAGGGGAAGCAAGAGAGGCAGCAGTTTGACACAGATAGACGTGGAGCATGAGGACTTGCACGATCGCAATTTGTCAGTAGACTAGTCAATGAGAGGTAACAGGGCAAGGTGGCGGGACCGACGCAACAACAGAGAGCCAGACAATGGCTGAGATAAACGCGCAGTCGCAGTGACACCAGTTCAGCGGACATGCTTCATGGTGACAGGCAAACTCAGATTGGAAGATCGTGATCAAACGGCTTTCCTTTCAGCCAGGGGTGGCAGATATTCACAGGCAGCTGCGTTGTTGGCGTATTGCAGGGCAAACTGATCACGAGAAAACAATCCAGCAATTTGATTATCGCTAATTGGCGGAGGGAGCAGTAGGAACAGGCAGGAAGTTTGCATTCCTGTTTGTGCTCATGACGCATGTTGCTTTTAGCTATGTTCAACTTTGCTGATCGCCGCGGGATGCCTTTGCGGGGGTATTTGTTCAAGTTTTTGCCCGAGCTTTGGTCAACTTGGGTCAGGTTTGGCGTTTTTTGGTGCCTGCGAACTCGACTCTGAGGTCAGAGCAATGGGTCAAGGCGGCTGGTCGGAATGGTCGGAGCCCTCGGACCCCAGCACAACCTCCGAGGAGTGGTCCGACGAGGAGATCGCGGCTCGGACGAGTGAACAAAGGTCCTATCACTTCTTTCTTCTTATTCTTTTTTTTGGGGGGGGGGCAAGTTTTGACATATGCGTGCCCCCTTGAAAATGGAATATGAGTGGGGTGAGGTAGGTTTTGGATTGTGCACCTTCCTTTTTTTCTTCTCCGGCTTGGGGGGGTGCGGCATGGAATCCCACTTTGGCGAGGTATTAAGTAAAAATTGGAAGAGAGAGCTGGAGGAGGTGTTTTTTTCAATTTCGCCTCCGGGGGATGCCCTGCTCCATTTTCCAGTTGCTCTTGCGGACCGTGTGGGAGAAGGGGGGGATGCCAATTGTTGCATTTTATACTTTGGGGGGAGGTGTATTTCCTGCTTCCCTTGTTGTTTTCAAGAATTTGGGAGATGGGGGAGGTGCAAATGGGGGAGGTGGGTCTAATTGAAAAAAAAATGCAAATTGTAGCATTTTGTTTCAATTAGACCCACCTCCCCCTTCTTGAATTCCTTCTTTTTTTAGGAAAATGACATCTGGTTGGGGAGACCCCCCCAGCCGGGGCCCCCAGCCCCTTCCAATTAAACCACCCCTCCCCCCACGAGTCTGGAGCTCTATTGCTCTTCACCGTTGGATTGTTCCAGCTTGATTTGCCTGTGGTTTCAGGTGGATTTCCTGCTGCCCAAGTTCGGAGGCTGGACATGGAGCATGTTGCAGTTACGGCATCCAACACCTCAAGGGGATCAAGCCATCGATCCAGGTCCTTGAGCCCTTGGTCAGGTCCTTCGGAGCGATTTGGGTGAGTGCGGTTCGCGCTTTGGGAGGCTCGTTGGCAAATGTGTTCCGCGGCCTGGACACGAACTGCGACGGCTTCATAGGCCAAGAGGATCTCGCACGAGGCCTGAGTGCAACCAAGGCAAATCGAGGGTGGTGATAATCCTGGCGTAGAGCCTGCGCCGGAGACGCAGTGCCGGCGTGCAGGCTATGCCGTTTTACCGAAAATACGTCAAAGCTCGGGATCAGCATGCTTCTTGACGAAAGACAACACTCAAGGTGGCCAGGCATGCGCTCTTGTGAATCATGACTGGGTTTTGCGCAGCATGAGTGCCTGGAATGCCTGGAATTGAGAACTCTCACCACCTCGACTTTTTTTTCTGCTTTCTTTTGCATCCCTCTCCTTTTGAAGTCCCTTACATCTCCTCGCATGCCTTGGTGCCACGCTGGCTTCGAGTCGAGGCTTGGAGAACCTGGGCCTGCAGCTGTCGGCTGAGCGGGTGGCGCGGCTCTTCGCGGACCTGGACGCCCAGCACCGCGGCCTCTGCACGCTCCGTGACTTCTCCAAGCGCCTCGGCGACCTCGATGCCGTTCCACACGCGTACACGCGCGTGGGGGGGAATGGGGGGTGGGGGTGGGGGTGGGGGGAGATGGGACCTCACGTGCTGGCGGTGTTGGGCGGCTTCTCTTCTCTCTTCCGCTTGGCCTTGAGAAGGCCCAAGTGATCCTAATTTTGTCTTCGTTCCCGATGGTTAGGAACAACGCCATCCGGCAGAAGCGGGTTGCTCTGTCACAACCCTGCGATACATGCATGCAGGAAGCAGACATGGAACCTGAGGCCGACAAGTTGAGGTCAAGTGAGGAACGGCTCCCATCTAATTGCCTGGTCTGACCCCGCTGATTCATCGAGCTCTCAACAAGCCGAGCAACAAGGTCGTTAACCCAGAACATTCCCGAACACGATGTCCGGGATGATTTGCAAGGCAACCGGATTTGGTTTTAGTCGTGTGATGTATGTTCGTCCTCGTCTGTCGGTAGAAAAGTGTTGGTTTCTCCTGTGCAAAATGGAGACTGCATTCAAAGAGGGCCCCGTTTCTCCCAACTCAACGGATCACGTCTCCTTTTGTTTCCTTCTCCACTCGGCTGCACCCGCCAGCTGGCAGGTGCCTATCTCCCACTGCGGCACCGAGCCGAGTGGCTGCCACACGCAGGCGCTCGTGGCGTCGAGTTCTCTCGAAGGGGGCCACATGTGTATGGTTGCAGATCCAAATCATGCAAGTACAGGAAACATCAACTACATGGGTGAGTATGCATGCGTACTGGGAGGGCTGTTCGTCCCAAAGCTGATAGACATTATGGGCTTGTGCTGCTTGATCTTGCCTGGTGTTTCTTTCTCGGTAGAGCCTAGCATCGAAGGTTGTTTGACCACCCGCATCCACAATGCCATCATGCTGGGACGGGCCAGGTCTGCGAGATGCCACACGAGTCCCGCACGCATCCATGGGTGCGGATCTGCAAAGGTGCGGGCACTTGCTTCCCCCCTCGCTTGTTTGTGCCATGTTGGCGCTGCCTGCCTCTTGCACTTGACGTCAGCCGTCAGGTTTCCGTTTCCCCGACCCCCCTGGAGAGTGTGCATCAGGCATGCTGTCAATTGTGCGGTGGAAAGGCATTCTGAGGCTGACGCAAGCCCAGGCAAGCTTAATGCTCACAGACATTTCCTCTCTGGCTTCCTGGGTGAACTACCTTCGACGTTCTACCGGCCCACTAGGGGCAATACAAACAGGGTTCAGGAAAAAGCTTTCATATGCACATTCCGGACATCATACGCCAAAGGGGTTGACGGCCAACTGCAGATCGCCGCTGTCCAGCGAAGCTCCGCCACGCTGCCGCTGCCTGAAGACCGGGTGCCGCGCCAGGCATCCTTCGAGCTGACGCCCTTGGGCTGAACATCTCAAGTGGCTCCAAGGCGCCCAAAACTCCACAAGGGCCATTTGTGGGTTCTGATGGATTCTGATTTTTGAGGGTTTCTGATGGGTTCTGATGGGGTTTTCGTTGTTTTGTCTTTCTTAGGTCCAAGATTCACGCGTAGCCGAACAGAGGTCATTTGACAAACCACTCGCACTAGCCATGGAGCGGGCGGGGGGGGGGGGGGGGAAAGCTCTTAAACTACACCAGAAGAGCACCTTCAAAACAGATGCGCACTTGGCGCGCTGGTGTGGGCTTTGTGGAGGGAAGCCAAGACAAAACCAAAGACCAGTAGGGGTACCTCAATTTGAGATATGTTGGTAATGTATTAGAATACAATTATTCATCAAATCAATATTTTGTTTATGATAATGATGGAGATTGCATCGCCCACCAATCGTGGAAGTGCACAATGTTCTTTTTTTGGAGTACTGCCCCATTTGTTCGAGGAAAAGATGCCCTCCCAGAGAGTAGGAAAATGCAGGGAATTTTGAAAATTTGAGGAGGCCCTTGCAGGACGGTCAGCCATCCAACTCTTTAGTGGTGTTGTAATGCAGCCAAACGCTGCAATGCATTTACCTCGTTTCATATTGCGCTTCTTTCGCGACATGAACCGCCTCGCTTATACTGCCTTGGGCGCATCCGAGGAAACGGCTTAGAACTTATGATGCTCCGAGTTGCTTCTGAGGTACGTCAGCCCCAAGTTTCGCAAGTAGTGAGTGGCAGCGTTTTGGCACCCTCGGCACAGTTCGAGGGGGCCCGTTGAGAGCCTCTTGCGCCGTTGAATCTGGTAGTTTTCGCCTGTGGCTCGTGACCATTGCGATTTGGGAAAGGCGCTTGGCAACAGCTTTTGCTCCTGTACTTGTTTGCCTCCTCGATTCCGAGCAATTGAGACCAACTGCTTCCGTCTTTTTCACGCACGAGGCTGATGCTGTTGCATTTTAATGTTGCGCCCCGGGTGCCTGAGCTTGGTGACGCGACAGCCAAGTCGCAGAGTGGCAGCCAATGACCGTCAGGCGTCGCGCCGGAGCAAAAGGGACTATGCGGGCCCCTTACCCCCAGTCAACGGACAACGGCCTCCTTTTCTCTGCCTCACAAGCAGCTCCCATTGATGCTTTGACCTGAACAGCTGCAGCCCTGGGACGTGCGTTGGGATTGCACACTGGTTGCCAGATAGCCGAGCATTAATCAAGTGTCGCACTGGAAGCATATGGCAGCTGGGAGGCCCTGCGCTTGATTTGGCCAGTAGATGCTTGGGCTTTTGGAAGTCACTGGCAGGTCCGAAACTACACAGCCCCGCCAAGGTCGTTGCGGTTGAGCAGGACTACAGGGATGCGGTGCGAAAGGCGCAGGCTGGATGAACCGAGCAGACCACTGCCTCTACAACAGCCAGTTGCCGAATAGCTGAGATAATTGTTCAGGTTCCCTCATTTGCAGGAAACAGCAAGGGGATGATACTTGACATGTTGTTCTAGACCCCAGGTTTAACACCCAGGCTTGCCATTTTCTGAACAGCGTATGAAACAAGTCTGTAAGAACCACAATGGTTGCAAGTGGCACAAAAGCTGGCGAGCCACGCTTCAGAGCACTCATCGCCTGCCATTGCCATTACTCGAGTCATTGCAGGCATTGCAAGGGCGTGGCCTTGCTGTTCGAGTGGTGCGGCGCTTGGCCCGTAGGAAACGCCGGGACCTGCAGAAGAGGCTTGCCCCCTTTCTCGGCTTCTGATCACGTCTTCTCGCATCCGACAGTCCGGCCCCTTCTTGGACCCTGGAGTTCCAAGAACGTGTGACATGTTTTTTGCTGAGAGAGCCCCCGCGCGTCGCGGTCCCTCGTTCACCTAAGGTCCCCGGCACCAGTCGCAGCACGTTGCAGCCGCAGCCGAGGAAGGCGCGCCGGGAGTTGTCCATCCACCTCCCACCATAGTGAAGCTTTTGGCGTGCCAGGAAGCTCAGCCGAGCATGGCCTCCCAAAGGTGAACTGCCATGAACAAGGAGCGGTGTGTTTCACGATCGTTCATGTTTTTTCTGGATGTAAGTATTTGCTTTGAGGCTGATATATTTCTAATTTAAGGAAGATGTCCTTAGTGTTGGTCTACCACTTTTCGGGATTTAACTCGAGCAGTGGCGCTAGCCAAAACTGTTGGTAGTTGGTGCCTTCCTTTTTGCGCATGTATTGGCCAGCATCTTGTCTTGCAGACCTGTTGAATGTGCCATGTACTACTTTCCACATGGATTATTTGCTTTTTTTGATCGCGTTTGCTCTTGCAATGCTTTAGCTACGCTTCCATCATCCTGTCCAGGAGGCTAGCGGACCATCATGCTGGGCTCGAGCGCTTCAGTTTTCTTTGCACCTTCCATGCGGAGCACGGTGCAGCCATTTTTGGCGACCATTTCCCAGTTTTGTGCCATGTTGCGTCCAGCGAGGCATTTGTACAGAGTGCTCGCGCTTTGCGGCGTGCGGCGTGCTATGCACTCGGCTGGGGCAATCGGATGCCAAGCATTGATATTCATGAGTACCAGGTACAGGTCAGTGCTTAGACATACCACAGTCGCGCGCATTGACGGAAAAGGGCGTTTCACATCAACATGCTTGTGCAGTTTGTGCCTTGGTTTGAAATGAGCAGCATTGCCCTGCACTGGGATTGTGTTACCTGGACTGGGATGTCAAAGGCAAGTCAACCCACTGTTGGATTGAGGCAGCAAGAAGCTGGTGCTTAGATGTCTGTCAGATAAGCTGTTCATCAAAGCGCCCGGCCACAATACCGGTCCAGCTTGGCTCAGAAGAGTTTGGACAAGCACCCTTGACGCACATCTGCCGCCTTCCTCAGGTTTCCAATATATTCGTTGTTCATGAGCCTGAGTATGCGTTGTCTTATCTGAAGCAAGAAGCTAAATGGACAGGCCCCGCGCGCTTCGCAATATTTCACCGCCTGACTCGCAAGCTGCGCGTCTAGTTCAGGCGCGGGATAACAGGGTGGCTCTGCATGTCGGGTTTGCCTTCTGCTGGTTGGATTGCCAGCTTGCGGGGAGTCCCAAGTTTCTGGTGTTAAGAAAGGCAGGGTGTGGAATTGTGCCGGCCAGCAAGCAATTTCATGACCTGGCCATCATCTTTGCTCGGTGCCCAAGGAAAGGATGCAGTGCTAGGCTGCTATGCACTCAGCCATAAGCAAGCCGAACGGAACACGCCCCCCTTGAACGGCCAGGCAATGTTGCCGCGGGCAGCGCGAAGGCACATTTTGCCGCGTGTTTGTGTGCTCAAGGGTTGCATGCCTGCTGACATTTTTTGCCCTGAGCTGGCCAAATGGGCCAAATATGCCAAAGATGATACTTTCACATTGCATGGACAGGTCTTCTCTGGAACCTCACAGAAGCATCAGAGGCCTTCAGAAGGCATGTTCCGCTAACAGAGAGCTTTTTTCAGGTCCCACCGCGGTTGGGTGAAAGGTTCGGCGTTCCAGAGGTTTGCACAGCAACGCTGGGTAGCAGGAAAATTATAGCAGGCCGTTGTCTGGTGCTGCAGATGGTTTGCTTGTGGCAGGCTAGGTCTGGCTGTGGCCTGCGCTGCCCTAGCGCCGGACAGTCAGTGGCAGAGCGGGTGGAAAGGAGGGGTGCCATGGAAACGTTTTGCCCTGAAGGATGCTGCAGACCAAACGCATTTGTGCTGGGAGCACAGCTAAAAAGCTCGCCCGTCCAAGGTCACTGTTCCAGCCATATGCATTCAGTTCCTCAGCTGGATGCTCAGACAAGGCAGGCACACAGACATCAAAAGGGCAGTATCTTGCGTGAGCAGCGCCCGATCATATTTGCGCTCGACCCCAAGTCTGGGTCCAAGGCGTGCGCTTCTGCATTCATGCAGACTTCGCTGGATCAGGCCCAAGTCTTTTTTAGACTCTTTGAGAGGTCAGTCCGTTTACGCAGAGATGGCGGACAAGAAGGGCTCCACCATGAGGGCCGTGGCAGTTGCCAGTGCTGGGGTTTGTGCCATGGGAAGCCTGAACTTCGTTGTGGGCCAACCAAGCGTGCAGCAGCCCACGCAGATCACGGGCTTGCGGGGCGCACAGCCAAGCGGCACAAGCGGCACAAGCGGAAGCTCCATGCTGGGTCTGGCAGCCACTGGTGCTTTGGCGGCCGCTGGCGTGGCCAGCATGGGGCAGCGCCGCCGAGTCACCCTGCGTGCTGAGACCTTCGCCGGGGGCATGGCTGGCAGCAAGCTGCATGGCTGGGGCGAGTACCAGTTTGACCCGGCAGGCTTTGCAACCAGCTACCCCGAGCTGCTTGGATGGTTCCGCGAGTCAGAGCTCAAGCACGGACGTGTGGCCATGCTCGCCTATGTCGGCCTGATTGTGCCTGATGCGTTCCGCCTGCCTTTCGAGGAAGTGCAAGACTCCAGCCTTGACCTGCTGAGCGCCCACAACAAGCTGATTGGTCCTGGCCTGGGTGAGGGCCCCATGTGGTGGCTGTTGCTTGCCTGCGGCGTGATCGAGTCCTTCCGCTTCAAGCAGGTGGGCCTTGCCTTTGAGAGCCTGACCACGGAGAACGCTGGGGATCTTGGTTTGAGGATGTTTGCACCGTCCTCTGCTGAGGGCATGGAGAGCATGAAGATGAAGGAGCTCAAGAACGGCCGCCTCGCCATGCTGGCCATCGGCGGTGCTTTGACCCAGGGTGTGCTTTTCAACGCCCATCACTTCCCTTTCACACCCATGAGTGCTTTGCGCAGTGAGACGCAGTCTGGCATTGGCTCCCGTTCCACCATGACGGGCACGGCAGCCAGCATGGGAGTGAGCCAGCGTCAGCGCGTGGCCTGCCACGCTGAGTTCGCCGGGGGCATGGCTGGCAGCAAGCTGCATGGCTGGGGCGAGTACCAGTTTGACCCGGCAGGCTTTGCAACCAGCTACCCCGAGCTGCTTGGATGGTTCCGCGAGTCAGAGCTCAAGCACGGACGTGTGGCCATGCTCGCCTATGTCGGCCTGATTGTGCCTGATGCGTTCCGCCTGCCTTTCGAGGAAGTGCAAGACTCCAGCCTTGACCTGCTGAGCGCCCACAACAAGCTGATTGGTCCTGGCCTGGGTGAGGGCCCCATGTGGTGGCTGTTGCTTGCCTGCGGCGTGATCGAGTCCTTCCGCTTCAAGCAGGTGGGCCTTGCCTTTGAGAGCCTGACCACGGAGAACGCTGGGGATCTTGGTTTGAGGATGTTTGCACCGTCCTCTGCTGAGGGCATGGAGAGCATGAAGATGAAGGAGCTCAAGAACGGCCGCCTCGCCATGCTGGCCATCGGCGGTGCTTTGACCCAGGGTGTGCTTTTCAACGCCCATCACTTCCCTTTCACGCCGTGAATATCCTACTATGCTTTGCAGCAGGCTAGTGCAGACAATGTTGGGCAGCGAGGCTGTTTGATATCCATAATTGAGTATAGGACCCAAAGCATAGGAGTCATGATTACAACTGACAAAGTTACGCAGAAATTTCGTTAGGCTGGCCAGCTGCAAATGTCTCCCTTGTGCTAGGCATCATGCAATAAGCTGCACGATTAAGCCACTGCAGTGGAGGCAGACATAGGGCCTTGCAAAAACAAGAGTGTCCGCGTTGCAGTGGCATGACTGGGAGAGGGAGAGGGGGAGGAACGGGAGCTTGCACAATTATCAGCCGTACGCAGTGCGTGGGTGCCCAGGCCACTTTGAGCAGCTTGCAGGTTCAGCAGCGGGCGGTGCGCTTGCGGGGCGGGCGGAAGGAATGAGTTCCGGAATGCGTGTTCGGGATAGTTTGCGTCTGGTTTCGGTGCTAGTTTCTGTTTGTGTCGGTCCTAGTTCTTTCAAGTGGTCAGAGAAACATGTGGGGGTTGATCTGGTGGGATATATCATTTTTAGTTGACTAGGACCAAAATGAGTCAAACACTAGGACCAAAGCGAGAGGGCTAACGGTTCGGAAATTGCCACCCAGACACGACAGTTGTGCAAAACGCTTGATAACATGCTTATCCCTGGAGCGCGGCGCATAATATCAGGGTGTCTCAAGAAAGTCACATGTCGTGGATCCCTCACCATAGCTTGAGATGCTTGAACACGGTTCAGCTGCTCGCCTCTCGCCCTCCCAAGGGAAGAACAACATTTGACAGGATGCAATACTCGCTTCAGGTAGGCAACACAGTGTCCTAAATTCTGCTAACTCCCGCATCCAATCATAATATGAGCGACTGCCTGAAAGAAGCCAGCGCCGGAAGAAAAGTCTCAACATGGGAAGTCTGGCATGTGGCGCATGAGTCTCAGCTGCAAGGCTAGGTCCGGTTTCCCTTTTTGCTGGCACTTGTTCCTTTCACTGACGCACGTAATTTCCAGTCAGGTGTTCAGCTGTCAGTCTTCACCCTTAGCCAGAAACAGCAGCTGTTGAAGCGCGCAACATCCCATCACCTACATAATGCGAACCCCAAGTTTGTTTTGTTTCAGTTTGCAGTCACGCCCGCTTATGCGACACATGACAATATCAATCGTTGCGGACGTACATGCAGACTCGATCTGCTGGGGGAAAAATGCGTTTCTCCTCGCGAGAACCTGGAGGTTTGAGGCCAGGGATGACGTTAATCACGTGAGTCTTGGCCGTCAGCCGGGTTGGATCCTCCTGCGGTCAGGCGGCTCCAGCGCCAGTGACGCTGGGCACCCGTGCTACTTGTAGGGGGCAAGTGAGATAGCGGTGGGCCCCTTCATTCGACAAAACAGGGGGGGTTGGAGCAGGAATTCGGAACTGTTCTTGCTGACTTCCTGATATTGATCCAATGTGCTGCATTGATGTCATGTGCGGTCCTCTTTATGACTTTGGCCCCGCCATTTTGAGAACTACTATGTTCGCCATTTTTCACACTACCTTCTTACGATTTGGAAGGATGTGTTTTTTTCTCCAGCCCCAGTCTACTGTGCTTTTATCAGTTTTCTTCCCCATTTCGGGAAGCCCTTTGTTGGTGATTTGGATTATTCAGTGTTGGTCGTGGTTGGGCTGCGGCAGATTGATTCCCGAGCTGCCAACTCATGGCGTTGTTCGGGCAAGTGTTTGATCAAGGCCTTATGGCAGTCGCTCTCAAATGCCGAAGCTGTTTGTGAATGTTCTCAAAATCATGGCGGGGAAGCTGGAGCTTGTAAGGCGCTTCTTTTGGGAAGGCACTTCTTCAATCACAGCCGAGGCCCACAATTGACACGCCAGGCGCGCGCGTGCCTCAGAAGGCTTGCTTCAGCAGGCCAATAGCAGGCTGACTCGTAGCTTGTGACCGTCGCCTTTCGGCACGGGCAGCAAATTCTAGAGAATCTTATGCAAAGAACTGTTCAGAGTTCAAGGCGAGGGAGGCTCACGTGGCAACATGCGGACAGGAGGGTTGGTGGTGCAGGTGTTGGCGTAGGGTCGTGCGGTATGCTGCCATTCACTCGAGACGTGCAGGGCTGAAGGAGCAAGCCGATAGGTTGGATGCGGTGACGGAAGTCCGTCCGGTACTCTCCGTGTATTGTGCGAATGTCCAGGAAAATTGGCCTTGCCCACAGAAAGCGTTTCCTTGCTTTCGGAATGCGCTCGAACGGTTCTGAGCGATTGCCTTTGAAGGCCAACGGTCACCCTCGAGCAGTGATTCCCAAAACTCGGCACGGTATAGCTATTTGCCATTAGAACGTTCACCTCGCCCTACCTGGAGGTTAGGCGTGTGCTTCCCCTTTCAAAGCTCCATGCGAAGCGAGGGAGCCAAGGCCTTCAAGCCCAGATCCTCGGCGGATGGGCGAGGCAGTGCGATGGCTCATGGATGAGGCCAGGCCAGCATGAAGTCTGAGAAGACACGGCGATTCCGAAAGCGCAAGCTCGCGGATATTCGCTGATTTGGAGAGAGTCCGAGGACCCCCTTTCAAGATCTATGGTGTTTCGTTTGCGGAAGCGCCGGTGACCATCATTGACACCTTGGAGGTATGGCGTGGCACCATGCATGCTATCAAACATTGTGAAAAGGAGATGCTTCGAGTGTTGCTTTCTTGCAACTCAGTTTACGGTCGCTGTTTGTGTTTGTGACCGAGGGGGAACTCCAAGTAACGCCGTGGATCGAAGCATCTAAACAAAGGGTTCCCGTGTAGCCCTTTCTTGCTAGCATGACGGGATCAGAACATGTAGAGAAGGATGTGTTTTTTTGCAACCAAAGACCAATTTTCAAGTTTGTTTGTTTGCTTGTTTGTTTGTTTGTTTGTCTGTTTGCTTGTTTGTTTGTTTGTTTGTTTGTTTGTTCAGCGTATCATTGTAAAACCAAACGGGAACTGCTGCAGGGTTTCCCAGGTTTCAACCGTATCCCTGTTTCATGCCAATGCCACTGTGTGGGCGTTTGGCGATTGGCAGCGTATGACGCCGGCAGCGTATGACGCTGGCACTCGGCGGTTTCCCTGAGGAGGCAGAGAAGCCTCCTGAGTGGCATGCCCGGGCCTCAGGCAGCGCCCAAACACGCCACTAAAAATTACAAAATAAAAGTGGATGGTTCTGTTGCCTGCTTTCATTGGGGGTGATAGTCAGGCTTATGAAAACCTTCCTAACCACGCTACCACTGGCAGATACAACTGTAGTTGTGTTGGCGATGCTTATTTGGTGATGAATATTTTGACAGTGGCTGTTCCTGGCACGTCAAGCAACAAACGCACACGTGTTGTAAGGTTGCCAGCGGGTTACCATGACCATGTCTCTATTGGAGTATGTAATTAATTTGTTTTGATGGCGTTTGGCCACATCGAATCGAAAAGTTCGCTTCTTGGCCCGCCGTGCAAAGGTCCTTCTGCTGGACAAGACATTTGAGATCCGGAAGAATACGGCTGGCTTGGCTCGCTTTACACTAGGCCCCTGGCCCGAGGATAGTGGAGGAAGAAACGAACGCCCCATGGGCACAAATCCCTTGCGTCTTGTTGGCTTCCCTTAACCGCGTGAGTTGCAAGCATCAGGAAGGTTTTCAGCATGAGGTTGCGAAGAGTCATTCATTTCTGTGCTGGCATGCGCCAGGTGTACCGAGTGACATCGCCGCCCCCTCAGCTGACACTTCACAAGGCCAACGCAGTGCTTGCGACTTTGCAGGGATCAGCAGCGCCAAATAGGTGGCGCTGATGGGGCAAACGCGATGGAACAGAGAAACAGTTATAAGCTTGCCAACACGGATGCTAGCGGAGGTGGCAAAGGTTGCTTTGAAAGAAGCAAGCGCTGCCTTCAGCAGTTGTTGGCCCTTGGACTCGCAAAACATGGCAAGGCCTTTGGCATGTTGATGTTTATATATTGGGTTCGCAGATGTTGACCACGTGTCGCATATTTGCATGGGAACAAGCATGGGCATAGATTTGCATATTTGCACAGAGAGCTATACGGGCTATAGGCATACGCAATTGCACTGAGCACCTTAGGTCTTTGATGTCTGAACTCCCCCTGACGCTGGCGGAAGCGCCCGGGCCCAAGTGTGGCATTGGGATCCAGGGTGCGCCGCCCTCGAACACAGTTTGCTTGACTGGGCCTCAGCTTGTAGCTGGCGGTTTTTGGGCGGACAGCTGAGACAAAGGCGGCCCCTGAACTTGCGGCCACGAGGGAAGGATGTCGGCTGGTCTCCCTGTCCAGGCGGACCAAAGCAGAGCATGCCAGAGACAATTTCTTTTCTGCCCTGCACTGAGACGGAGGGGAGGAACAGTGTCTGGAGGGATGGCACAGCCCGCGCTTCAATCCGAATGGGAATTGGATGGGATGGGATAGTGCCTCTCAATCACAATGAGCTCCTGTCACCGCATTCTAGAACTCGTTGAGTTAATTTGGGCACAGAAAGTGAGCTGTTGACAAGCCTTATGACCGAGCTAGATGCACGAATGCAGTTTGATTTATTGTAGACCCCTCATGGCACGATTGGAATACATTTTGCACACACCTGAAGCGGTTGTTCATTTGATACGTTCGAATGCGGACACAAGTTCAATCAAGTTTGCAGTCTCGGACTTGGCTGGCATTGCAGGAAGGGCTGCCCAGAACTGGCAGTGCAGGGGTCAATTGCGGATTGGTGCTGGAGATGGTTCCGGGATGCTGACTCCAAATCTGCAATAAAGCGTCCAGTTTGGTGTTTTTGTGGTCTTAGCTTTGCTTGGTCCCAGGATGACAACTGGTAGTAGGATGGCCTCGCTCAGATACTGGAGACCACCCCGGAGTGGAGCAAGGCAATCCGAACTGCGCAGGCATGGAACCCCCAGCACAGGGTTGAGCCCAGGGCTGGGCTATAGAGAGACAGGTAGTGAAATCTTGAAGCGGAATGCATGAGGCGCGCGCCCTGCCCTGTTTGGAGTGCTTTGCAGTGATACGCATTCCTTGGCTTAGTGGCGATGCAGTCATTCCGACCATCCAGGAGGCAAAGAAGACACCAACATGTTGTGATATGTTTTGCAGAGCACTTCTTCTGTGGTTTGCGTAGTCCGGAAGAGAAAGCCCACATGGCAGTGATTTTTTTGAGGGGTCTGTAACAGAGCCTCGGCGGACATTCGTTACAGACCTCGTTACAGACCTCTGTAACAAAACCAGCATATAGCTCGTTACACACACCTCGTTACACACCCTCGTTACACACCCTCGTTACACACCCTCGTTGCACACCTCAGATGAACAAACCCAGTGACGTGACTGCCCTCTTTTTGCCGCAGCTTGGCTTGCATTGAATAGCTGCAATCAAGCTGGAGCTGCGGAGGCGCTTTGCGTACTGTGCTTTGCGTCGCGTCGTTACAGACCTTGTTACATAGCCGTTACATACCTTGTTGCAGACGCAACCCCGGCCCGGGCCAGCGACCCCCCTTTTTGCCGCAGCTTGGCTTGCGTTGAATTTCTGCAAGCAAGCTGGTGCTGCGAAGGCGCGCTTTGCGTACTGCGCTTCGCTTTGCCTCGGTACAGACCTCGTTGCGTAGCCGTTAAACGCCTCGTTACATGCCTCGTTACAGACCCAACCCCAGCCCGGCGGGCCAGCAACGCTGCTTTTTGCCGCAGCTTGGCTTGCGTTGAGTAGCTCCATCAAGCTGGAGCTGCGGAGGCGCACTTTGCGTCCTGCACTTTGCTTTGCCTCGTTACAAACCTCGCTACATAGCCATTACATACCTCATTTTGCTGCGCTACATTGTGCTACTGATACTGCTTGTCAGCAAATGTTTGTCCCCTTGCAGACCTGCGTAACAAAGACCTCCGTTGCAGACCTCCGTAACAAGATTCGTGGCGCGCCGCGCGTTACAGACCCTAAAAAAATCATGGCCACATGTCTCTATAGGCTCACGGCCCACGTGCCTCGCGTCGCTCAAAGTTGCACTTTGCAACGCAGCTGTTTCATCCATTAAACCACGGCCCAGGTTCCATCTCTGAGCGGAACTGGTTGGGACTGCAATCTGTGTTTCTGTTTGTGCTCAAGCCCTTGCAGAGGCTACGGCTCTGGGGCAGAGAGGTCCAGTGGAGGCTTCTCTTCGGCAAAAGCCCCAGCCCGATTTGGGCGCTTCCACGAAGCTCGTAACGGCAATTTCATGGGCATAGCAGCGCTGCTTTGCAAGCAAGCCTTGCCCAAGCTGCATGAGACGTCCGGCGCTCACGTTGACAGGAACGCCCAGCTTGTTTTTTGGACAGACTCCTGGCTGTCAATTTTATCAACCCACCCCAGCCATGTCCGACGCTTTGGCCCCATGTGTCTTCGGAAAGGCACAGGAGGGCTGTGGAGAGCTGATGTTCTTGAAGCATATTGCAAATGCCTGAACAGAACCATGAGACCATGCTGTTGTGCTTTCAGTATTGTCCTGTTTGAGCGTCACCATTTGGCAAGGAGCCGGCGCCAGATACGCTCGCAGAGCTGGGGGTTGGAGGCGCCGAGCGTCATGCGATGCACTTGCCGGGGGCATGATGAATACCACCTGCGCAGTGGCATGTTCCATGTTTTGCCATGGTCTGGGCAGTTCTCCCAACAATTTGGACGCCCCTTGTCCTTGGATCCTGCCCTGCATGGTCCTCAAGCACTTTGTGCGGCTAGACCCGTCCGGCATCGAATCCGGATTTCCCCACTCACAAGTCGGTGAATGTGCTGGTGGGTTCTAATCGCATGCCACTGTTGGAAGCAGCCAAAAGTTTGCAGGTTTAGTCACAAATGAGGACAACCATGGATAAGCCATGGTAAACTGGTGTAATTAACCCGGTAAACCGTAACCAGTTGAGGTGTTGCCAACACCCAGTTTTGGGCCGGAGTTTCGCTGGAGCTTACAGCGGTGATGTGCAGGAATGACATGTGCCGCTTGCAGCGGTGCCGTGGAACGAGCGCTGAAGCAACTAGCAGGCGTGCATGAGGCAGGGATCGCCAGAGGGATGGAAGCATTGTTTCTATTTTGTTCTTGTTGATGTCGTGGCTTATGTTGTTCAGCGTTTGACAGGCAACGTAATATGAAACCTGGACAGCCGTAGCAGCTTCGCCATTGCAAAGCTGAGTAACAATCTCAGGCAATCACTCACGGTTGGCAAAGCGAAACTGCTTAAATCACCTCGTTTGATAGCCTCCCTCTAAGAATCATAGACCTGCCAGGGGAGTTGTGGAATACCCTTGTGTAGACGGCCCTTGCCCACTTCCATGATTTGCAAAAGAAAGCCATGCCCAACAGTTCATTCCATATTGTATAGATGCAGCCTTTACCTAATGCTCGAGGTGCTTACCGGTAGGTTGCCAAGTTGCGAGCCCTTGGGAGGTTGGTGTGTTCGACCCATGCAGGTTGAAGTGAGCCTTCTTCGCGCGCCTTGCCACAGAGAGGGTCAGAGAGCAGGTGGCCGTGCCCGACGTACTTTGCGGCAGTACCTCATTCACTTTGGCCATGCTACTATAAGGGTATGAAGTCCTCCCTGAAGACAGATGATTTTGGCTGTTCTTTCCTGTTTGCCCAAAGGCATGTTTATGTGGGTTGCCGGAATCATGGCCACAACCCGCAGGACAAGTTTAAGCCACGGAATGTCACGGAACTGGGTTTCGGAGACCAAGCTGTCAAGATCTTTGTTGGCATGACTCTGAGCGTGTTGTATACTTCAAGTGCGGCGTAGGCATCGACAGAACCTTGCGCCACGCCTTGCCACAAATAAACAAGTAAACAATCCGGTAAATAAACAAATGGATAGATACGTAAATACATAATCAAACAAGAGAAGATACACCGGCACAAGCACACACACACACAGGAAACGAGCGGACAAACCAATACCCATGCTCACGCCCGCGCCCAAGCCCGTATGCGGTACGCACCACGCAGAGACGCACAAGCGAAAAGCAAAGAAAGAGAGGGGGAAAAGGAGAGAAATGGGAGAGGGGTGCTATATTGGCCCAGGATATGTCTCCCGCTGGATTGGGAGTTGTTTTCCCCCAGCAAGTAAGCAAGTCCGAACCCCCCCCCTTTAAATTGAATAGGAGGGTAGAAGAGGAGATACGTCAGTCATCATTTGCACAGTGTATTGCACAAGGTTGTCCATGCCACACGAAATGCAAGTTGACACAAGTTGACCCGGTTGATGCAAGTCACCAAGAGGAAGAAGCAAGCAAGACCAAAATCGATCCGAAGCAATTGAACTGCTCAGGAACCGAACCGCTGGGATTTGTGGACATGTTTCGCCGAGCCGTGCCAAAAAAAGAGCCGGCAGGGTTAAATTGTGAAATTGGAAGCCAAATTCTTGAATTCAATTGCCCCCTTTCACATTTACACACCTGTAGGGCTGCCACCCGCAAGGATGGCCAGGCTTCATTGAAGGCGAGGGTGTCAACCCATCCTACACCCTCACGCAAAACCCTCCAAACTCTCGCCCTAAGCCCACCACCTTCACTTGCAAACCCACCCTAAGCTCCCTAAACCCACGCTAAACCATCCTAATCCCACGCTGAACGCTCCCCAAATAGTCCTGGGAAAAGCAACAAAGTTGGATAACAATCCCTGAAAAAGGGACAGCCAGTAGAGGGAAGGACAGAACGAGAGAGAATGAGAGGCTTGCAGGGTCAGACACACACAGTTGCTTGGCACACTGATTCACACACCTCGCTTTCCCATGGAAAGCTGAATCCGAGGCCCGTGCATCGGTGCGCTTTGACAGCACCACACTGAGCGCAGAGCAATTAGCCGACGAAATCGAGGCCTTGGATTCGGCGTTGGGCACTGCTTTGTAGGAGTACAGCAATGTTTGCGCAAGCACTGGGTATCAGGAAGTTGGTTTGAAGGGTTCCCCAAAATCCAATGGTCAAGCCACACAGGGTACCTTTTTTTTAATATCAGGGTCGCTAGCAACTGGCTGGCATTCATGCGTACAATCCTGTGGACATGTTGGGCCCATGGCCTGTTGCATGTCGCAAGACCCGCAAGAGGCCGTGGGCTTCGATGCCACGCTGACCAGCGTCACCAGCACCAAGCCGAGGAGAGGAAGTCAGTAACCCACCTTCGGATGAATCCGGAGCGAGGATTCCCCTTTTGGGCAAGTTGAGGGGGATTTGCTCAATTTCGTTTTTTTGGGGGAGTCCTTTGCGTGGAGTTGTCTGGGTGGGAAGAAACGAAAAGAGCACGGTAGAATGTTGCCTGGGTGAGAGCGGGCCTTGGCAGTCCAAGGTGGCGCGTGGCTTGCAGGAGCATTGGTCCAATGCGGATGTCAACGCATAGCGTAATGCAGTTGTTGCCTGGCAGCGGCCGCTAAGTTTCCAGTAGTTCATCCAACTCATTTTGGTGGATGTGATGTTCATCCCCAATGCTTGTGGATTCGATCTGCAGGTCCTTGTGGGTTTCTACTGCCTTGGGCCTTGCCTGAGGGCTCCTTTTGGGCAGGTCCGCGCCTCTCACGCGCCGCGTGGAGCTGTCGGTGCAGGGCATGACCTGCGCCGCCTGCAGCGGCGCTGTGGAGCGGGCGCTGCGCAACGGCCAGGGGCCTACGGGCCTGCGGCTTTCCCAAAGAGCCCCAAGGTTTGTGCGGTTGCGGCTTCTTCCTTTTGGCTGTGGGTCAACAATAGGTGCCCAAACTAGAACCCTGGTAAAAGGAAACATGGACTAAAACCCGCGGTCCCCTGGTGGTTTAATTTTGATCCACAGCCTTTTGGCTCCCTTTTTGAACGACCCAAAATCTTGGTGCCTTGGTTCTTACGGGATGCGGAAGGCCTTTGTCCGAAGGCCCGTAGGTGTGTAGGATGCAAGCAATCAGATGGGGTTGGAAGCCTGCGTTCTGGCAGCCGGGATTTGCTACCTTTTCTTTACCCGAGCGCCCAAATAGCTGCAATGGAAAACCGCGACTGGTAGTGATGTTTGCATCGTTTGTTGTGAGGCTTGGCCAGCCCTGGTCCTGATTGCACTGAAGGGCCAGGTGAGCCCTTGGTCAGGTTGTTCTCAAGGATTGCCATTCATGTTCAGTTGCGTTTGCGAGTCTTACATATTTCCATGTTGCGTAAGTTCTATACATGTGGCTGAGCCAAACAGTCAACTTGGCAGTGCAGAGCTCGACATTTCTGAGGCGCAGGGGTCCTCGACGTCCAGGCGTGGCCTTTCTGGGTTGTGATCCGATGCTGAACAAAGCCAGTTCCTTCGGAGTTTGTGGGCGGCAAATGCCAAGGCACAGTTTCACTCGCGCAGGTGAGCCTCCTCCGGAGCAAGGCGGTGGTCACATGCACCAGTGAGGCCGCAACCGCCGAAGCCCTGGCAGAGGCGCGGGGCTTGCCACCAGTGCAGGGGCCACCGGGTTTTGCCGTTCCATGCCATGGACGTTGGAGGCGGCCAGTACTGAGTTTGCCACAAATACTGGCATTTGATGTAGAGAGCACATCAGTACATCAGTACATCACATGCGCTTTTGCATGTGGGAAGAAGCCTGATGTTCAGAGTGGCCAATTAGGGATGTGTTCCATGTTGGCCCTTGCATGGAACAGCCAGGGTTGGTGATGCCAACTGGTGACCTCACAGGGGCCAGCTTCAGACATGCTCCCAGACACGCCCCAAAAAGATATCACCTGAGAAAGCCAAGGTGGGATGGGTATGTCACAGTTGCAACCCAAGTAAGGAAGACCAACGTACACGCGTGGGTAGTGTAACCTTGCCCCCGAGGACGGATCGTTTGCTGTGGAGTGTTCCCTTCAGATTAGGTCAAGCATCGTGATACTTTGACATGCCATTCCCACTCCAGCCTGTCTCACCAACCAGGTGGTTTGTCTCGCGCCAGCATGCGCCAGCCTTTGTACGCGCACTGTGGATGAAGCAAACCAGCCATTGGGTTCAATGCAAGATGTCAGAGGGGCAATCTGATCTGTTGTGCTTGGGGTTGGCTTTGGTTCTCGCAGAGCAGCTGGAGGAAGTGGAGGACTGCGGCTTTGAGGCCGCAGTGGTGTCTGAGACGCAGGTGCCAGTCTTGCTTTTGGCTTGGCGGGCTGGGAGGGGCCAGCTGGGACAGCAGTCATCGCCTTTTTCTCCAAGATTGGGCTCAGCTAGACGCTGGATTATCTTTTACTTGTTAACCCATATTTTGCTTGAATAGTTTGCTGTTTGGTGCGCCTCGCGTCTAGCTCCCAGAAGGCCCAGAAAAAATGAAGTGTCAGGCCAAGTGCATGGTTCTCGGCAAATGCTTCCTTGTGCAAGGGTCAGGTTTGGCGATGTCAGCATGTTTTGGCAAGTTTTGGTCTGATTTTGACTTTCTGGCCATGGCAGGCTTAGTAGGTGCAAGTCACTCACGCCTTGGTTCTTGCATCCCCAGGCCGCTGCTGGCGAGCAAAGGCTTCAGCCAGAGACGGCAAAGCTGCACGTGTGCCTTGGCAGCATTGCCAGCCTGCAGCATGCAGACGCGGGCTTCAACGGGACCGGCGGGCCTTTTGAACGCAGTTTCCAGTTAGCTTGAACATGGCGCGTGTGAATTTGTGTTGGCCTAGTCGTTTGTGCTGCTTGTGCAGTTCGGCGCATGTGTATGCATGTCGAGCAGGTGTATGCAATTCACCGACACTGTAAATCCTTCGTCCCGTTAGAATCTGTGATTTGTGGGCCGCCTCGGCAGGGGTTGGGCGCCCACCCTGTCCGGATTGGGTTCCTACCTGCTGCCATTTCACACCTTGGATTGTTTGGGAAGGACTGGCTTCCCTCCTGCTGCTGCTACATCTTGCCGGGACGTGTGCTTTTCCGTTTGCTCAGGCTGCCAGAGCAGGCTTGTGAAGAGGGAGCGTTGGCCATCTGGCAAACGGTGCCAGCTTTGGGCCCGTCATCTCTAACTTGTATGGTTGGCAGTGATCGTTTGACATCCCAATTGTTGCTTTCAAGATGTTTGAATTGAAGCCAGGCCAGGTCACCTACAGCAGGTCACGGAAACCCTTCCTACCGCCAGCTTCTGAATCCAGGGGTTCACGGGTTGGCGGTCTGAGGCTTTTCTTTTTGGTGCAAACCGCCAAGTCGCAAGTCACATGGCGCCCAGTTTGAGTGTTTTCTCAGGGCACGCCTTGAGGTCTGCAAGCGGCCCAGCAGAGGCGGCTGCAGTCCAAGAAAGGCTGGAAAAGATGATGCTCGGCACAAGGGGGTGGCTGGATGTGGCTGGCATGGGCCTCTCCAGGTCTATGACCCTTTGGGTGGGGCACAGGTTTTGAGGCGGCGAAAGAAGGTAGTGAGGAAGGTGCCATTCGTCTTATGGTTTGCCCTTTGATGCAAGCCTTCAGCTCCGGTGCACAACATGTGCAACCAAAGTGTGCCCCCCAGAAAAATAGCAAGCTCCCTAGCAATCCTGAGAACGCGCTGCTTTTTATTCAGCAAGTTTCGGGCTGAATTCATGACCTGTTACTCAGTCAGAGGTCTTAAAGTCTTAGCTTCGACTCTTGCACCCAAAGGGGCGATGAATGGCAAGGTGGGAAGGACAGGGTCCATTCTTCAAAGCCCAGGCCCGGAATTCTCAGCGTGACCACGCTGGACATTTGCTGCTTGCGCGTTCTTTACCGGTCGCTCGGCGATCAAGATAGCCCTGCTTCCTCGTTTGATTCGCTGCGCTGGGTCTCCTGTGACCTGTGAAAGGCTATCACAAGCAAAGTTACTTAAAGCACAAAGAAGGCTTCACGCGCATGACCACCTGGCACCCCTTATTTGGGTTGTTGCGTGTCAATGCTTCTCTCTTTTATGACGCTGCAAAGGCGCCACTTCATGCTAGAGCAATTTCTACGCCCACAGCAGTGAGCGCTTCAGTCCCACATTGCAGGAGGGTAGGGCCATTCAACATTTGGCATCACCCACTTCGCTCACTCAAGTTTCGCACGGGGCCTTTGTTTGCGCAGCTGGTTTATTGGGAGGGGGGGGCAGAACCACTTCAATGGCTGCCACAGCCTCTCGCTCAGGCCGGATGAGGCAAAGCCACGAGAGGTGCTGGCCACTTTGCAAGCGCAAGGCCTTAAAGTGGAGCACTCGCAGCCCGGGCTCTCGCAGGCCGGCCGCATCGGCCGCAAATCAAAGGATTTCAGGTGAGGACCCTGGTGGCCTAGGTTTGGCTGATTGGTTCCGTCGCGAGCTGTGGGGAACAGCAGCTTGCATGTGCCGAACTTGGCAGTGCAGGACGAGGGAAGAAACGGTTGGAGCGCTTTCACTGTGACCATCTTGTTCCTTTACACTTACTCCCTTTATATATCGTTCGATTTCTCTCGTCACTCAAGGGCGAATCGTCATGTGACAAGGAAAGATGAAGGGAAGAGAGAGGATGATACGAAAGCCAACTAATCATCTCCTTAATTAGCATTTTGTTGGATAGCTCGAGTGTTCAGATGGTCTGCACGGGCCATGTCAGAGGAGGTGGCATGTAGGGCCTCAAGTTGTCGCAAAAGGGATGCCACCGCAACAAACATGAGACGCTGGACGGGTGTGCAGCTGCTGTTCAGGAATCGCTGCCTGAGAAGTCCATAGCTCGTGACCTTCGTTGCGCGCTGCCACCGACCCTAGTGATCTTCTTTGTTTCTTGGCGAAAATGCGTGCTGGGATAGAGCCCAATGCTGCCCAACTGTCAAACCCTTGGGATGACTGCTTTTTGTTGCGATGCATCGACGAACGCTTTTTAACGCAATGCGAGAAGCCACACGTGCTCGGCGAATGTGGATCACTGGCATCAATTTGCTCGAATTGTGGCCTGTTTAATTTTCTGAGTCTTTCATTTTTTTGGCAACGGTGCACACGGCCATCTTGCCTTGGCTGAAGTCACTTGCTTGGTTTGCGTGAGCCACGTCACGTTAGTTGAGCTCACGTAAAGTGTCATGTGAAGGGAAAGGTCTTAAGAACAGCAGCAGCTGCTCGTTGAAGCCAGTGTTGTTTCAGTTTCCTTGTTTGTTTCTCTTGTTGGTGCCACTGTTGCCTGGGCATTGCTTCCATTTGCCACAACAATAGTTATTCAAAGAGCTGCCTGGGAAGTTGTGGCGTCTTATGCCACCCTGCCACTTGTAGGCAGCGGAAGCTCAAAGTGCTGGAGAAGATTGGTAAAGAAGCGACAGGGGAAGGCAAGAAAGGCTTCAGGAACCCCAGCACCAGTTTGCCCCCCTAGCGATGTGCCCACTCCCCCCACCCGGTCACCCCCCCCGGGGATTTGGCCTGAGGTGGTTTTTCTTTTGCCCCTCACGGGCTCGGGCTTGCACTTCTCCTGTGGCATCCCGGGACTTCAAGTGGAGACCTTGTTGCTCTTCGCCTTGGCCACGCCGGTGCAGTGCTCCCTGGACTTGAGGATGGAGGGTGGCTCATGAAAGCAATCCGTGCAGAAGCGGCGAATCGGGGTTGTTTTGGGTAGTCGAAAGGTTGAAAGGTGCCCAGCACATGCACATGCGCGAGCACACCACAAAGATACACATCGACACACCACGCGTACGCACGCACACGCCCGGTGCACCCACCCACCCGCCCGCCCGCCCGCCCACGCACCCACCCACAAACCCCACCAAGCAGACATACATTTGTTTGGAGGTTTACGTTGGGGTTTAGAATTGAGTGTTTTCAACGGATTTGAAATTGGGTGCGAAGTAATTTCGTTCTGATGTTGTGGGCCGTTGGGATTTGCGTTCCGTGGCCATGGGCCGTTGGGATTTGTGCGCGTGTTCTTGGCTTATCACGACCTTTGTTGCCTTTGTGCCTTTGCCCCCTCTGCTGCTGTGCTTCTGCTGCTGCTGTTGCTGCTGCTGCTGTTGCTGCTGCTGGGCCATGTCTCATCCGGCACACTTTGGGGTCTCGTTTGTAAATTCAGAAGGTCTTGTCCGGGGTCTCGTGCGAGAGTCCCCTGCAGGTTCTCAACCCGAGCTTCTCAGCACCCTCTTTTGCTTGGACTTGCGTTGTGCGATGAAAAACGCTGGATCACCCGCAAAAAATGCTGAATTGTGCGTGTTATTCTGCTCAAAGGCCAAACTACCAATCCGGAAAGCGTTTGGTTTGAAATGAAAGCTCCATTCGGTCAAGAACATGCTGACCACCTAACGTTCGGCAAGAGTCGGGATGCCGAATTAAAAGATTCTGTTGATGCTGGCGTTTCCTGTTTCGCGGCTGAGGTTACGCTGGGCGAAGGCAGTGTCTGCAGCGTGCACGGCTTTTCGAATTCTGCGTGTTTGGTTTCCTTGATTCGGAAGCTGGTTACACCCCCTGGGAGCCCATCCAGGGTCCCAGACATTATATACCATCTTCCAAATGTGTTTGCTTTGCAGCGGTCATTCAGCAGGGAACCCAGGGAGGGTTAGTGGGTCGTGACTGCTCGCTGGTTTCATGGCCAGCTTTAAGTTGCAGGATGTTGCAGGGACGTCCACCTTCAATTTTTCCCTACCGGAAGGCCCTTGGTGCACCATTGCGCGCAAAAGAACCCGAGTTGTTCCTGTTGTTGAATATCCGTCATTTTTGAGCTACCAGTTCGAAAGACAAATGAGGGGTCAGATCTTGGTGGCCGAGAGGAATCTAGGGCTGTCCTGACTTGAACTGCCTTCGAGAGGGCTATTTTTCTTGGAAATCCGATCAGCTGCTGTTTCGAGAAACGTTCATTTCAGAGTTGCGTTGCTGCACTCTCCTTGTCATTCATTCATAGGCCACAATTATGCACAGGAAACTTGAGGTGACATGCATTTGGTTCATGAACCCAGTCAGGTGGCCTTGCTTCCTCCGTTTTGGCAGGTTTCACCATTCCGCCCGACGAGCACTTGAGCGGCGCTCGCCGAACATGGATGTGCTGGTCTCCACTGCTACGTGTGCCTCGGTGCTTCGTGCAAGGCGTCATTTCTCTCATGTTACCACGCCCCCAGCCCCCAATCCTGAGACAGGGTTTCCTCAAGATTGTGGGAGGGCCGGGCTATTTGTTTGACGAAGGGGTGTGTAGCCGCGTGAGATGCAGAGCGCAATGTTTGGTGCCGGTGAACTTTACAGATGAGAGTTCCATGGTGCACTTGCAATGCAGCAAGGTTTTGCAATGAAGAGATCAGGTTTAGCTTATGGCTACTCCACCTTCATGATGGCCCTGGCGGTTGTTTTTGCAATGCTGGGCGACAAGCAAGAGGACGCATGGGAGAGTGCAGGGATTTGCTGGAACACGAGGCAAAGGTAGCCAGATCCTAAACAGTGTGATCAGCTGAGCACTTCCCCTCAACAAACCTGAGTGTTGCGAATGGCAGGTGCCTGGCAGGGGGCCCCGGGGCCCCATACCGCAAAGCCCCAAATACATGGGTGTGGGTCACAAATGGGTACCCAAAAGGCCCAAAATGGAACCATGGATAATGGAACCAAGGACTAAAATTTGTGGTCCTCTGGTGGTCTAATTTTGACCCATAGCCACCTTGGGTGCGCAAAGGGAATAAAACCGTATTGAACAGGAGGAGTCCCACGTGGATAGTGCCTTCAACGTTGAGATGTGTACACTCAGCAGTTCATGCATTCTAATGGGCGGTTACAAGGTAATCCTTAAATCCTTACCTTGGTTACGCAAAGGTTTTCTTTGTAGTGGCTTCCCTACAGGGATTTTGGATTAGGCTTGGCCAACCAGCCCAGCTACTCAGCACAAGGGCGGCGCTCTCAAACCAGGAGCCCCCGCCACACTTTTTCGAGACCCCCTGCAGCCTGATCACCGTGCCTTGGCCCATGCGGGGCTGCGGGGCTTAAGCTGAGGAGCAAGGCCATTGAACCAGAGCAACGTTGCACTCACGCCAAGAAGGCTACACATATTAGGGATATTTTGATGAGTTCCAATGCCAAACCAACACCAGTGGTTCTCATGTATTGCTGAAAACGCAGCATCTAAACTGATAAAACAAAGCATCATAAACATAGCCCAGATTGCGTTTGCAGTTATATGTTCATTGTCAAACACCTGTTGGCAAAGCTCGCAGATTAGGTGTTGCAGCAGATTTGAAGCTGCGTGACATACTGGAACCTGGCTGCTCTTTCAATGTGGGCTTAGGTTGGCGTTGGGACCGAGATCGATCCAGACCTCTTTCATTCTTTCTGGCGGGTTGAGTGCTTTTCTTTTTCTTGGCGAGGGGTAATGGCACTCACGCCAGAGGCTACACATGCATATATCATATAGGGATATTTTTTGAATATCTCATGACCCAATGGCTTACATTATGTACTGGAACACTCGATTTAGCACTAGCAATACTACGATGTTAGTGTGGGACCCCATAATTTGGACACTCGCAGAACTACCCTGCCTTCTCAACGCCCAAGTCCCTTCCAGGATGTGAGTTCCAATGCCAAGCCAACACCTGTGATTATCATTTATTGCTGAAAACGCAGCAAAGCGATTCAGCATAAACATCGTCCAGATTGCGTTTGCAGTTATATGTTCATTGTCAACACTCTCTTGGATTAGTTTAAAGCACACATACACTGAGCATTCTGGTAGTCAGGACTGATTCGATAGTGCTAGAGCGAAGTCATGAAATACAGCGCTGTGTCACAGTTTTATTCAGGCCACATGCCATTCATGTAAAGAGGTGTCAGGGACTGTTTGGTTAGTTTTGCTTGTGTAGTCATAAGGATTGGGCTCACAGCCATCCAGCCGCAAGAAAACAACAAACACAAACATACCATATGTTTTGGTATGTTTTGCAAATCTGCAAAACCTTGAGAAACCACGAACCAAACACATACGCAGTTGCAGGGCCTAAGGGGGCCACGCAGGTGCAATCTTTTGGGTGTTTGCTTCTACGTATTGTTCTTTTGTGGTTTCCTCCCACACTATGTAAAAGCTGTATATACAGGCTCCCAGTGCGTTTTCATCCGTTGTCTGGAAAATCCTGCTCGTTTCCATTGAAAGGTGGCGATTGTTTGGTTCATTAGGTTCTTTGAACCAACTTGTTCCAACCCTGCCTCGGTTGAGGTGGTCCTCCTTGGGAGGCTGCTGGAGGCAGCTGCTAAGAAACGGACCACGGACTCGCTGGATGACGCTTGGCGGGCAGAAGCGCAGGGGTGCGGCTAATTGAGGACAGGCTAGGACCGCCTTTCACGCTTGAAGACGCTGAACGGGGGACATGTGCTCGCGCATGGACGTTTGCTTGCAGGGTTATGGCAGTTTGCGCAATCAGCTCGTCGAAAGCCAGCAGGGTTTGTTATACAACAAAATGGTTTTCCGGCAATCAGATTTCATGTTTGTTTCTTGCAGGGTAGACGATGAGTCAGAAAGTCAGTCGGGTTGGCAAATTGCCGCAGCCGCGCCGTTCAAATCACCACTCTGGCACCCAGCAATGATGGGAGACATGGACCTGCCGCTTCACTTGCCATCACTGCGCTCAAATTCACTGCGAGATCGCTCAGATTTGGTGCGCCGGCTGCAATGATTCGCTTTCGCCGGATGCTCGCTATGGCTTGCTTGCGGCTCTTAAGAGGTTTGTGCCTGCACGCTGCCTGCCTTTGCTGCCTGTCGCGCTGCTCGCTTCTCCCATGCCCATGATTATCATGGCATGTCCTGAGTAGCTTGCATTGCCCGTGTTCAGGGCACATTGCGGTTCTGCAGGGAATGGTTGGCATGAGTGCAACTAGAGCAAGCACAGTTGCTGCAATGCCTTGGCAGTCCATGTCAGGGGAGCCATCGCGGCCCGTGCCCACATCCATCCGAACTCAGCGTGCAGTCCTGGCCGCTCTCCGCCAAGGACTCAAGCGGTTGTCCGCTTCGAACATGACCGCTGATGAAGTATCTTTCAGGCAACTGGTCAGGTTTGGACCGTTTATGTGAAAAACTTCCCAAAGAACGGCTTCTCTGAGCTAGCCCGAGCACGTGTGGTCATGCGATGAAAGCATGTGCTTTTGTCACGCCATCCCTTCTCACCAAGAGACGGGCTTATTTTGAAGTGACTCAGAACTCATATGCACGTGTCAAATCACGTTTTGTTCAGAACGATTTACAGATTGAATGTTTGTGGCCGGCATTGTTGTATTCGGTTGGGTGGATCATAAAAGCGAAGGGTTTTGCACACGAGAGAAAGTCGTTCAGCCACCCAACCATCTAAGCAACCGGACAACTTAGAATTACCATAATGCCTTTTGCACTTTTGGCAAACGCTGGTCCTTCTGGGCTTGTCTCACTGCTTCAAAGTTATCACTGACGGAGTTTGTCTTAAAATAAGAAGACCCCAAGAAAATGGTCTCCTTTGGTTTAGCTTTCAACCCGATCCGAAAGGGGGGGTTCCCTTTTGTAGGCAGCACCCTGCGCCAGCTTTTCTTGTTTACCCCAGTGCTCATGCTTATGGAGTTCCATCCTAATTGGTGCAAAGTGGAGTTTGCTTATGCACAGTACTGTCTTATGAGATCTGAGACAGACGCATTTGGGTGTTTCTTAAAATATGGGACTCCTTACAATGGCATGTGTGCCTTTCTGTTTCCTTCAAGCAAGTCCGAAAGGGGCTTCCTTGTTTGATTCGGACGCATGGTTCATCCAAAGGCTGTGCGCAACCAGGAGCTGAAGAAGAAAGAGTCGCTGCAGCAGCGGCGCGCGGCCTTCAGGTCCATGGCCGAAGGGGGAACCACACGTACGTTTCAGCAAAGAAACTGGCGCCAAAAGATACCCAACCAAAAGGTGCCAGCCAAAAGATACCCAACAGTTGCAACCGGCGGCATGTAACTCCGGCGCTTTTTTTTTCCCCACGGGAGAAGAGCCCGGGGGGTTGGAACCCCGAATGTCCAGGAACACCGTGGAGCCCCTGAGCCTGAAGCTGGAAGAGACGCCCCTCGGACACAGCTGCCAAGCGGCCAGCCAGTGGCCATGTTAGTTGGCTCAACGCCATGGGCAGATGGGAGCGGACACTGCAGTTGGGACTTGACAGTGTGTTTTGTCAAATTGGCATGCTTCAAAGTTGGCGTTTTCCATTGAACTCTTTGAGCCCTAGCCCTAAGTTGAGCTAGGCACCAGGAGCCAAGACGCGCATTGCAATATTCATGGCCGGGATGCAGGGGCGGGGGAGCTGCGGTTTGGTGCCATTAAGACTTCCACATTCATCTGCTTGCCGCAGCTGCATCGGGCATTTCAGGGCAGTTATCAAGGACCACTTGAGACCAAACCAAAGGTGAGAAGAACATTGAGGTTTGAGACTCGACGGGCAAATTGTTAGTTGACAGAAAATTGCACATACTGAGCATCCACCTCTGCCATGACGTCTGCCGTGAAAGAGGATGGAGCGGCGCATTCCGTCCTGCAGTTGGCGGAGGAAAAAATCAGCGAGATGAGCAAGGAATTATGTGAACGAGTGACGGCAGAACTGAACAAAGCAACTAGCCGTCTTATCAGAGATGTGGAGGAACAACTGCAGGGGTCAGCTGCACTCAAGACCCTCAATACTTCATGCCAGTCTGACCAAATCGCTAGCAAGGCGAGACGAGGACGAACCGTGGCATTTGAAGACGAACTTGGGACCTCTGAATTCCAATCTGTTTTGTCGGATGAGCGAGTGCACACTGTCCGTTCCAAGTACTTTGAAGACCTGACCCAACCCCCGGGATATGATCAGAAGCCGGTTGCCGCCTGGGGCACCCGCATCTATCCTGAAACGGACGCGGACGAGTATGGAGTTGAACACACGGAGTCCATCACGGAGGTGACACACATGGACCCGACCGTCGAAGCTCCAGAAGTGAATCAGCCGGAAGCTCCTATGGACACCGGCGGAGTGGAATTGAAAGCTTCGCGGAGCATGAAAGTACATCGAGAGAGCATGGCCGAGCGTATTTTTGGTTTCGTCCCAGACATCAGCGACTCATCCTCCTTGAAAACGATGTCATGGTTGCAGTTGAAATTGAAGACCATCATATGCGGCAATTGGTTTGAAGCGTTCGCCATGTTCATGATTATGTTGAACTCTCTGCAAGTTGGCTTGCAGATCAATCATCTTGCCGAAACCACTGCCATAGATGCAGGCCCGTTCTGGCGAGGTTGTGATCTTTTTTTCTGTGCTTGGTTTACCGTGGAGGTGTTCTTGAAACTCTACGTGTACCGCCTGCGCTTCTTCACCATGCATGGCTGTGCTTGGAACATTTTGGACTTTTTCTTGATCGCGGTACAGCTTTTTGAGGAGATTGCCGCCTTGGCCTTTCTAACCGTGGGTGGTGCCCAAGCGGTGGTGAATAGTGGCGTGATGCGAACCTTTCGCATCCTCCGAGGAATCAAAGTCATGCGGCTGGTAAGGACGGTTCGCTTCGCTGAGGAACTTCAGCTCATCGTGAGCTGTTTGATTTTGTCCCTCAGGACTTTTCTGAGCATTGTGAGTCTGCTGTTTATGTGGATTTATGTCATGGCAATCTATACCACCCAAGCTGTTTACGTTTACCGCCTGGAAAATCCTGGCCCGGGAGACGAAGCTCTGGTGCGCTGGTGGGGAAACATTCCCACCAGCATGTTGTCATTGTTTCAGGCACTTAGTGGCGGGGTTGATTGGAATGACATATCCAAGCCGCTCTCCGACCACATCTCACCATGGTTTGGCTACCTTTTAGTCATCTTTATAGCCTACTGCTTCCTCGCTTTACTGAATGTGGCGACGGGAACCTTTGTTGAAGCTGTTTCAAGGCAAGCTGAGCATCTCAAGATACGAGCTCAGATCATTCAAGCGAAAAAGGTCTTTCAGCAAATAGATGCAGATCGCTCTGGCAGCATCTCTCTCATTGAACTTCGAAATCAAACATCGACTCCGGCTGTCCTGGAATTCTTTGACTATGTCAATGTTGACCCTTCAGAGGCACAGTATTTGTTGGAGGTTCTGGATGGAGATGGCAGCGGCACCATTGCCTTTGATGAATTTTTGACGGGAACTTTGAGACTGAACTGTTCCGCCCGAGCAGCTGACATGCTGCTGGTGGTGAGGGAGGTGAAGAGGTTCTTCGTGCACTACAACTCCGAAATGCAACTGATTAAGCAGCGCTTGGGAATCATTTAGCTTGATGCTTAAAGCATCAATGAGAAGCAACAAAGGCACCCAAGCTCCATGATGCTGGCTGTCCGCAAAACCCTCGACGTGCCAAAGACACCGGCGGCATTGTGGGCATGCTAAAGCACCCAAGTTTCCGAACTGCGAAGCTGTTGGAAAAACGTGGAGCTTTTCCAGCCGGCAGCGCCGAGGACCTCCCTCGGGTTATCAATCCCGTGACATTGTCAAGAAATATCATGAGAAATCAGGATGAATCGTGACGGTTCTAGTCTCAAGTCACCCCAGGCTTTGTTTCACTCTTCTAGTGCTGCTTAGCAAAGTCAGGAGATCCAGCAGAAGATTAGTAACACGATTGCAGTGGGCTTCTTCAGAGATATGACATGGCCATGGATCAAAACCTGTTGTAGTGCGGATGAAGATCCATTTACCACGCATGTTCAAGTTCAAGAAAGTGCCAGGATGGCGTCAGTCTCAAATGGCGAAGGGTCAACACCTTGGCGAACATCCACCTTGTTCACTTCTTCGGTGAACTTGTTTGGATTCCATGGGATTCCATCGATCGCCACATTTGGTAAATGCTCGACCCATAGACCAACTTCGTTGGTGGAGGGAACTGTCTCATGCGTCATGTGCAAAGCCTGGTTGTAAAAATGGTGAGCCATTGCAGTGAGGTCCTCCGAACAAATATGTTTGAGTTCAAGTGCAAATGTTGAATTACTTCATCCCTTAAAACATCAGGTTGCTTGGAAATAGCTGACTGGCCCTTACTTCGTCGTCACCTAGGTTCTTCATCATGGTGCTGGGCTGTCCTTGTCCATCAAATGAGTCGTTAGTGTGTCCAGTTCCTCAAAGTTGAGCGCTTTGCAAAGATGTGTTGCTCTTGCGTTGGCCACATGAGACCTTCGGAAGTCTGGAAGGGATCCATTTTCTTCGCTGAAACTACCCCAGACTTTGCTATGAAACTCCAACAATTGCAATCTGAAAGTTGCGCCTGGTGTAGCTTGAAGTCCCAAAGTGCCTCACCTACCAAAGCCCACACCGAAAACCCACCCCTCAACACATGACTTCTTTGTGGCCGCTTTGCGACCTTCGTGACACACCGAAATGCCCAACATGACAAAATTGTGATTCTACAATATCATCCTATCCACCTACCAACGAAAAGAGAGTCCCACGGTGATTGTGCGGTGGTAAGCCCCAATTACAATTGTGTTTTGTTTTTGTTTTTTGTTTTTTGTTTTTTGTGGGGGGGTGGTGCTTCAAGGACATGGTCCGATGTTGGTGTGTTTCTTGAGAAGTTGGTCCATCCACATCAATTCCTGTAGGGTCTCCGTCGTTGACACCCTTGTGCGTTCGTGTACAAGACAAGGTTTTGTTAGAACCCCTCAACTTGTGCACCTGCCATGTTGGGCTGCAACAATTTTCTGCCTTCCGTTGGCGCGGGTTGGAATTTGTTCACTTGGTCTTCGACGCGGAGGTGCTCCAATGACACGGAGGGTTCTAGCTGGAAGCATTTGGGTTATTGTGGGCCGACGATGCTGGAGCTTGTGTTTATCGTGAATCAGCATGGTTGTTACCAAGGCTTGCAACAGTTGTTGAAATGGCTGGTCTCCCGCGATGATATATGACAGTTGCTAGTGATTGTCCATGGCTCAAAAGCCAAAACTCCAAAATCGCCGTTGTCATGCCAATTCGGTGACAAGTTGGTTCATGCTTGTAAAACGAAACGCCCATGGTACCAGTTTGACCCGTGCTTCATGATCTAATGCGGCCTTACATCAAGCCCACATTGGGTGCACCGTGACTGGTCGCCCAGAGCCTTGCACTGAGGCAGGCGGCAGTGTCCGACAGGGCAGGTAGCGCTTGCTTATGACTTGGCTCACTTTCACATTGGCCTGTATGGAACGTGCCGGCCAGCATCGGGGTTGAATCAGAGCCCAACCAGTAACTTCGGTATGGGCCATCCAAGTCAAGGCTTGCCTTTTCGCACACCAACTGCATGAGCCCTGGGCCTTTAAACATCGCAAGAGTTGCATGTTTTTGGGTGGATTCGTTTGTCACAGCTCGGCCGTGCTTTTGAAGTCGCGAGCGACTTCTCCAAGGAGCGCGCCAGCCCCCTGCCTCTCGGACCTGCTGAACCTGAACATCCCAGACCCTGACAGTCGCCGGCATCGCAAGATCTTGCTACCTCAGCTGGGCCTGAAATGATACGGCTCCCTGACTGGTGGATGGCTGTTTATGTTGGTTTCGGGGCTAGGGGATCCCACTGTTCCAGTTGAAGGGCTATGCTGGGGAGCAAGGGGTGCCAGGATTGTCTTTTGCATATTCACCGAAATTGCGGCCTGAGCAGTTTCCAGAAAAGCCCTGAAGCGGCTTGGAAGACTCCAGTTCTTTCAAGAAAAGCCCACGGCATGTTGTGAACCAGTGTCCTCTTCTGACTAGACCCAGCTTGGCCCGATAAGCAATTGGTTCCTGAGTAGTTGCTTGACAAGCCCGTCCGTTGGGGTTTGTATTCAAGACTGAACCTCGCAATTGCCTCTCTAGCTTTGATGTCGCAACTTCCGAATTCGTCCTTCTGAGGCAGCATGGATGGGCTGGGGCGCGCCACAACGGCTTGTTGCAGCCCGGGTCCGCCCACTGTATAGACGCCTGTGGGCTTGACACCAAAACAAAGCTGTTCCCTCGGCTACTTTAAGAGGATGCCCAGGCGGTATTCTGTGGGGAACTGCGTGCTGGAGTTGATGCAGGGTGCGAAGAGTGGAATGCAATGTAACAGCGTCCCGGGGAACTTTTGACTGGAAGGCTTGATCTGTTTTGGTTGGTAGACACGGCATCCTTTAAAAATCACGTACATTATGTGCATGTTCCTTGCAACAACTTCGTCTCATTTGTTCAATGCTGCCAGCCTGATAGGTATAGCATATTTGACCGGGACTGCTCAGCAGTGCTTGCGGCCCTGCAAAACTCACGGCCGCAAGTTTATAAAATTCAGAGCCACTGTGGCAGTGGAAGGACCCTAGGTCGCTGCGGCCCTCATACTTTTCCGGCGGTCACTTACATGTCTATTTTGCTTGAGAGGGGGAGGGGTCTGGAAATGAATGGCAAACAAACGCGCGAGCCGCTTCTTTGCCACTGAAGCATTTGTGTTCCTTCGTCCCCCCGCGCCAACTGTGTTTGAGGGACCTGGTCCAGCCCATGTCCAGCCTCCACTGCCTTGCTCACATGCTCTACAGTTACCTGAGCCTACCGGGAATGTGTCAGGTGTGTATAGGGACCCCTTCGAACAGTTAGCTCCCTTTTAAAGCTCTTTGACTGACACGCACCAAGAACCAGGGCTGACACATTCCCAAATGCCATGTCAAACCTGAAGCCATTGAAGTTTGAAGCCTTGGAATTGCTGGCCCGGAATGCCGGAACGCCATGCGCGCCGCGGGGGCCATTCGCGCCACGGGCGCACTGTATAGAGCTTGGTGTCAGCCAGCAACTTTGGAGCTGAACTTCTGGCGAGGCTGGCGTGGCAAAAAGGGCGTTTCTTGCCTTTCTTTCTTTTGTTTCTTCGTCGTTTCTTCGTTTGTTCGTTATTTTTTTTTCTGTTTTCCTTCCTCCTTCCTGTATGTGTTTGTTGGATTTATGTCTTTCGTTTGTTCGTTGTTTCTTATGTTTCTTTCATAATTTCCATAGTTCTTCGTTCATTCCTTGTGTCTTTTGTTGGTTTCTTTTGCTTGTTCTTTCTCCCGCTCTCTTTCTTTCTTTCTCTACTTCTGTCTCTCTTATTTATTTACTTATTGTTCTATTGATTTATTTCTGTTTTGTTTTTACTTCCTTGTCTATCTAGTTGATGTCGTACTATCTTTCTCTCTCTGTGTGTGTGTGTGTCTTGTTTGTTTTGTTGTTTGATTGTTGTTTGAGTGTTTTTTGATTGATTTGATTGTTTCATTCATTGATTGGTTGATTGATTGATTGATTTATTTATTTATTGATTTATTCGTTGATTGATTGATTGATTGATTGATTTGATTGATTGATTGATTGATTGATTGATTGATTGATTGATTGATTGATTGATTGATTGATTGATTCATTGATTCATTGATTCATTGATTGATTGATTGATTGATTGATTGATTGATTGATTGATTGACTGATTGATTGATTGACTGATTGTTTGATCGATGGATTGATTGATTGATTGCTGGATTGCTTGATTGCTTGCTTGATTGATGTATTGATTGAGTGAGTGATTGAGTGATTGATTGGATTGATTTGATTGATTTGGTCGACTGAATTTATTGATTGATTCATTGATTGATTGATTCCTTATTTGGTTGGTTGGTTGGTTGATTGGTTGATTGATTGATTGATTGGTTGATTGGTTGAGTTGATTGGATTTGATTGCTTGCTTGCTTGCTTGCTTGCTTGATGGATGGATGGATGGATGGATGGATGGATGATTGTTTGTTTGGTTGATTGCTTGACCGACTAAGGTTGATTGATGGATTGGTTTGATTCAGTTTAATTTGACTTGACTTGATTGCTTGCTTGCGTCTTGCTTGCTTGTCGGTCTGCTTGTTTGTGTGTTTGTTAGTTTGTTAGTTTGTTTGTTCATTTCTTGTTTGTCTCTTTTTTGTTTGTTTGCTTCTTTGTTTTCTTGCGTTTGCTGGTTCTCCCGTTGGCCTGTCTGTTTGGTTTGTCGGTCTGTTTGTTCGTCTGTTTGTCTGTCTGTTTGTTGTGTTGCTTCTTTTTTTGTTTGTTTGTTTCTGTTCGTTTGTTGTTGTCTTGTTGTGTCTTGCTTTGGTTTGTTTGTTTGAAAGTCAATCTGTTGGCTTGCTTGTTTGTGCATTGATGTGTGGTTTGTGTGTGTGGTGTGTTGTTTGTGTGATGTTGCGTTTTGGTGATCCCGCTCAATGCCCAGAGCATGTCAAGCACCAGTGTTTGGAAACCTTTGTCCTTCCAGGCGGCTCCCACTGTTTGCACATTTCTACCCTGCACTGGGCTGATAGTCCCTCGCCTGCATGGCATGCCACGAAGACAGCAGATGCCAAATCCGCAAATATTGTGTTGTTGCCAGTGTCTTTCCCGGCTGCCTGTTTCCAACTTGGTGATTTGGTGGGTTTGGTTGGGACTTGAAAGCTGCAAGAGAGTGAGTTTCTTCTTTGGGTTCAGAGTTAAGCTAGAACTGATCTAGCTTGCCCGAAGTGAGAGGAATTCAGCCCTCCCATGCACCGGTGGCTGCCGACCAGAAGCCCAGGAGCTTTTGCGGACGACCCCGGTTTCAGCGCGCCTCTGCAGCGGGGAGGAAATCCCCACGGAGTTGGTGGGCTTGGGGGACGTTTTGGAGGCGCGGTATCCACAAGACACTTCGAGCAGAAAACTTAAATACCCAGGAGGGCTTTTGTTGGTTGCATGCCCTCTCCGTCGTTTGCTTTACTTAAGAGTCGTTCCCAAGGGAAACCAGCTCAGTTTGACCGACACATTGTTTGGGGAATACCCGGAAGGGTTATCGTTGCAGACTCATGCACATCCAAACCAACCGACACCCCGATTGGCCGATTGGCTCAACTGTTCACGAACAGCGGGATTCCCTGGTGGTTCTCAAGTTTGCCTCGGCAAAGTGATGGCAACGTGACCAAGGCTAAGGCATGCAGCTCAGAGAAGCGCTGAGCACTAGGGGTGGGAAGTGGGAGCTGTGACGAGGGGCAGGCAGATTTGGACACATTCGAGCACGATGTGTGTGTGTGTGTGTGTGAGTTTGTGATTCCACGAAGTGTTGCTGCCAAATTGCTCCCTTTCGGCGGAGAGCAGCCATTTGACGTTTTTCCAGGTCGGCTACCCGAGCCAGGTCCATCCTGGGGAACTTGCACCAGTGGATGGGGAGCTGCTTCCTTGGACAGGGGATGAGAAAGGCCGGACCTCGGTGGCTGAAGGGCATTGGAAGGGCTTGGTGCATAGGCGCTTTGGAGCCACCATGAGCTGCTGGGTAGTTGGTGAAGCGCCGTTTGTGTGGTCCTGCTTGGGATTGCGGCTGGTGTTGTTCCCTGGCTCCACGCTGCCCTTTTCGTTTGTCAGACATCGACATGGGCTCAAGCAACTCACGACATTACGAGCCCCACGCCGTTTGATTGATTCATTGCCCCCCCACCCCCCCCCCCCCCCCAAAAAAAAAACAACCAATGCTCGTACGTTAGATTGATTCCTTGCCCTCCCCCCCCCCCCCCCTCAAAAAAAAAAAGCTCGTGCGTTAGATTGATTGATTCATTCCCCCCCCCCCCCGCTCCCCCCTCCCCCCCTGCCCCCCCAGAGGGTTCGCCGGGGACAAGATAAAGTCGCACGGCGCCACAGCGAGAGCGCTTCGACACGCACGATCTCCGCAGAGGGTTCGCCGAGGTCAAAACAAATTCGCACGGCGCCACAGCGAGAGCGCTTCGACACGCACGATCTCCGCAGAGGGTTCGCCGAGGTCAAGACAAATTCGCACGGCGCCACAGTGAGAGCGCTTCGACACGCACAATCTCCGCAGAGGGTTCGCCGGGGTCAGGACAAATTCGCACGGCGCCACAGCGAGAGCGCTTCGACACGCACGATCTCCGCATAGGGTTCGCCGAGGTTAAGACAAATTCACACGGCGCCACAGTGAGAGCGCTTCGACACGCACAATCTCCGCAGAGGGTTCGCCGGGGCCAAAACAAATCGCACGGCGCCACAGCGAGAGCGCTTCGACACGCACAATCTTCGCAGAGGGTTCGCCGAGGTCAAGATAAATTCGCACGGCGCCACAGCGAGAGCGCTTCGACACGCACGCTCTCCGCAGAGGGTTCGCCGAGGTCAAGACAAATTCGCACGGCGCCACAGTGAGAGCGCTTGGACACGCACAATCTCCGCAGAGGGTTCGCCGGGGTCAAGACAAAGTCGCACGGCGCCACAGCGAGAGCGCTTCGACACGCACGATCTCCGCATCAATCAATCACTCAATCAATGAATCAATCAATCAATCAATCCAGCAATCAATCAATCAATCAATCAATCAGTCAATCAATCAATGAATCAATCCAGCAACCAACCAATCTCGCACGTTAGATTGATTGATTGATTCATTGCCCCCCCCCCCCCTCCCAAACCTAGGCGTCTGAAGTTTATGATTGGCGGGGAGCGGTGACAAGGTTTTATGTTTTTTTTTTGCAAACGCAAAGGTGCAGAGTTGCCTCCTTGTTCGGCTTGAAGGGGCAATTTGCAATATGTGCATGCACTCTAGACACGTCGAAGGGTGAACAAGTAACCCGTTGCATTTTGAAGTTTGCAGTTTGTTTCCCTTGGAACCGCAAAGCTGAAAGAAGCAAGCGACTTGCGTTTGCACGAATTGCGCGTGAGTTTCTTGTTGGAAAGCGTCCCGCACCGGGCGGGCGAAGTGCTCGCAGAAACCACCCACAACCAGCTGTAACTATTCACAGCCCAGAACAACAAACCATTAACCACCGTAACATATACCTCTGAGTGCCCCCGATAAGTACTTTGACTTGCCTAAGCCATCTGCAACCACACAGGCCAAAAGGTCAATCCGACTGCGCTCAGGGTCTCAGCATGCTGCTGGCTGACGCGACAGCGAAGACACTCAGTCGAACTTCTTCGGCTCAAACAGCACACGCGAAGCCCCACGTGCTGCCCGAGGACACACCGGCTTTATGCGTTGCAAACGAGAGTGCCAGCGCTATCGTCCGCGTCGCGAGCGGAAGCGCCCAGGTGGTCGTCGTGTGCTACATACGATGCCTTTCGCAAGCCTTGAAAATGGTCGTAGCCACTATAAACTGTACACATCATGCTCGTATACGAACGACAAGCTTTTGGTTCGCTGCGCGAATTCTTCGCAATGAGGCAAGAGCGCGCGTCATCGCAGTTGAACAAACGCATGCGCTTGGTAGATAGCACGTCCAAGACAAGCGCGCCTCGCCGGACAGGCCTTGCCTCCGTGCGTGCTGTGGACGACTCGCGCAGGTGCCTGGCAGGGTACGGGGTAAATGCAGAGCTGAGCGAACCTTGGATCATGGGCGCGGCGGCCATGTTGCAACAACAGCCGCGCATATTTTCTCCTGTTGCTCGCTGCCAGCTGCTAGTCTTCTACGTTAAGTTGCAGGCGCTGCCCAAAGCAGGTGCCACAGCTGCTGAGGTTGAGGCCCCGCAGGTCCGCGGTCCGTGTTGCGCGATTCCCGGTCTGCGGGTCAGGCACCCAGCCACAGCCAACAGCAACTGCGCCAGGGACTGTGGCGTCCACTCGGTGCACAGTGCCGGTGGCAGCGTTCACAACCACGCGCTCGCAGCCCAGAAAACCACGATCTGCAGCCACTGGCTGCAGTGGCACCGCTGCGACTTCTGCCGGCTGCACTGGCGCCGCTGCAGCCTCAGCACCAGAGGCGTCACAGCACCTCGCTGCTTCTGTTTGCTGGCGCCTTCGCTTTGCTGGAGCAACAGGCTGGCTGCAGGTCTCATCCCCGCATGTAGGCGCAGCGTGTGCCGTGGACGGGGCGCTCTGCCGCCCGCGGTAGGTGTCCCATGCCTGCTGGCACTCGTGCCGGGAATTGTGTTCGTGACTGAAGACAAGCAAGAGCAGCTCATTGTGAACCGGGTGGGCGCTGGACAAGCTGTCCTGCCACTTGGACACAATGTGAAACACTTGCTCTGCGGCCTCGGTGTCAACTCCACGAAGCACAGTATGGGCCTAGCAGCGCACGAGAAAGAACAGCAGCAGGTCAAAGAACAGGTCACTTAGAAAAAACACCGCTTAGTTAAACAACAAGGCCTTGCCATATCCAATCGAGCAGCATAAGGGTTGACATCCGGCAGGAACCACGTAGAGGTAGGGTTTCGACAACCTTTGTGGCCTTGAAAATGGAGCTTATCGATGACCCACCTGAGGCCGGCCATCCTCCGCCATTCAGTCTCCTCCGGCTTCCCAGCACGCTGGCGACATTGCGTGCGCATGTGGCGGACCACTCCGCAAGCAAAGTCGTACACTACCCACGACACGTGGACCATGTACACAAGCACGTGCTGCACAAAGAGCAAGACCTGCGTGATCGACTCCGTGGAGTACGTTGGCCGCAGCCCCAAAATCTGGAGGCAGGGCGAAACCGCTATCAGCATGCCCGCGGACTTGCGGCCAATGCTTGGCTCAGGCGTGCCTCGACGGACATCGGCCCAGCACTCTTCCGCTGGCCTCTGCGCGGAAGCTGTCTTCTTAGGGAGTGAGTTGACCTCGTAGTGGCGCACGGCGCTGACGGGCAGGTCTGCTGCGTGAGCCCAAGCCCCGTCACCAGTGTCGTACTGCAAGACAATCGAATAGCCCCGAACGACTTCACGATGGCTGGAGAGCTGCGGTCCACGGGGTGCTTCTTCGGCTGGAGGCTGGTGCTGCTGGCAATACTTGCTTCCACGCACCGGGCGGGCAGTGCAACCGCTCAAGAAGCCGGTGCGCAAGCTGGAGCTCCACACTAAGCCAGACCCCCGCTCGTTGCACACAGAGAGCTGCAAACTCCATTTGCCATCGACGACAATGACAGGCACTTCGTC